TGCATTGCCGAAACTAAACCTCGATTGTGGGTGCATAGGGACGAAAGTTCGTTGAAACTTCGTAAAAAGTATCCTGGAAACTCGCAGTACGATCTCGATGGTGAGGGGTTTACACATTTGGGGGGTACAATTACGAAGTTTATTGGAACCTTCACCTCGATAATGTCTCATTCGAGGTCGCTCACGCCCTGGCTATACTGCAATCAATCCGAAGGCGGGGTTATCGAAAGAAAATTTTGGAAAAACTTCCTTTCGATAAGGTCAAAGTCGGGGACTATAGAATCGATAATTTGTTAAGTCAGGGTCCATTAAACAGGCTAGTCTGTTACACTATGATGTTACACTACTCAAAATCAGGGATATGAAATCTATTACTATGATAGAATCAGGGTTGAGAACTTAAATCACCCTTAAAGTGGAAGGCCTGAAATCACCCTTAAACCAGGGAAATTTCCTTGATAAAAACAGCACTTAGTGCAATTCTCTCTATCTCGTTCCATTGCACCCGTAACATCTTGCTACATGTGAATATCAGCAATCTTATTCACTTGATGCCTCGAAATCGTTGTTGCGTTCGGTTCCATTGGCACAGCGAAGCCAGAAATCGTCTTGAATCGAGTACGAACAAGGTAACAGATTTGTTGTCGCACGTTTTTCCCAGCCTTGCACGAAATCACTGATGCCGAATTCGTTCGCATACTCGCTGCTGCGCACTGCACTAACCGTTTCCGCGACATCCCGAGGAACACCAACAGCCTTTTCCAAGCCAAGATCGAGATTGAAGCCGAGAGGGAAAAGCAACCTCTGCTGCTTCTCCCTCGTCAATTCTTCTCTACGTCCTTGACTTCACCGATAGGCGACAGGCACGGAAATACTGACGAGCTCTTGTTTGCTGCGATTCGTCCCACTAACTTGCAGATTGTCGGGTAGAATGCGACACGGCTAATGCATGTCGTTGACTCACGAACTGCTTCTAACCGCGAAGCTCCCTTTATTCAAAGGAAGGTAGTACTGAGACGAGTAGGGACATGAGAATCGAACCGGGCGAGAGAAAACGAGTGCGATTCGGAATCCAGGGACGACGCTGATCCGGTGTGGTAGTTAGTTCCAGCAAACGCGAATTTCGTTACATGGATCATGGCATCATGTCGGCAGGTCGAGTCGCTCTAGAGAGGTTGAGAGAAATCCAGCCTCGGTATGCTTCAGCGACGCGCATGATCTTACGCATCATATGAACCGCGCTACAGCCAGCAATGAGATCCTTCGTCACGATGGGTAACGATGGCTCTGAATCATTGCCACAGCCACAACATGGGCATCCAAGCGTGCGAGCAGCGATTGCGACGCACTTCCCGTCGCATCATTCGTCGCCTCGCATGATTCCACGACACCTCGCCTCCTCCAGTGATAGCGTCGCCTTGCGCTAGTGGAACTTCCTCCACGCCACGTATTCGTCGAGTCGCGGGACACCTCTCTTAACTACCTCTCTCCACAGCCGTGCAGCGGTGCACACCTCTTCCTGCGCCTATAAAGCCGGCGCCATGTGCAGCCATGGACTCATCAGCTCCAATCCGCCATTCTTTTCAGTCTTCCATCCGCCTCTCTTCTCACTCTCCCCTTCAAGAACCCGTTTGCAGCAGCCTTCCAGCTCTCTCCAGCTGCTTTGCAAGCCCCATTCCAACTCAACTCAGCAACCCAAATCTGCGCAAGCCGAGTTCTAAGGCAACTCAGCAGTCACTTGTGTGCCTTCCCTCATGGCGAAGGCTGGGATGCGCGTGCTCGTGCTGGCAGCGCTGGCAGTGGGGCTGCTGGCGGCGGCAGTGAGTGGAGCGCGGGACGCCATGAAGGTAGCCAGGGGCCTGGTCCCAGAGGAGGGTGGGGACGGTGCTGCGCCTGGCGGGGTGGGCGCGGGGCAGCAGAGGAAGGGCGCGCGCATTCTGGCGGCTGAGACCTTCGCTCACCACGCCCCTCTGCCCGACTACCTCGACCACATCCCCCGCCGCCAGGCCCTCGCCACCAGTACGCAACACAACGCTGCTCCCTCCTCTCCCTCTCGTCGCTGCCTTGCTTCCTTAGCTCTGCTGATCCTTTCTTATCACAGCCCGTTCCTGCTCTCCTTACCTCTCATTTCTCTGCTCCCCTTACCTCTCACTTCTCTCTGCTCCCCTTACCTCGCATTTCTCTGCTCCCCTTACCTCTCACTTCTCTCTGCTCCCCTTACCTCTCGTGTCTCTGCTCTCCTTAGCTTTCATTTTTCTGCTCACCTTGCTCCTCTTGGCCCTTGATTCTCTGCTCCCTTTACCCCTCATTTCTCTTCTCCCTTTACCCCTCATTTCTCTGCTCCCTTTACCCCTCATTTCCCTGCTCCCTTTACCTCTCATTTCTCTGCTCCCCTTACCTCTCACTTCTCTCTGCTCCCCTTACCTCTCGTGTCTCTGCTCTCCTTAGCTTTCATTTTTCTGCTCACCTTGCTCCTCTTGGCCCTTGATTCTCTGCTCCCTTTACCCCTCATTTCTCTGCTCCCTTTACCCCTCATTTCTCTGCTCTCTTTACCCCTCATTTCTCTGCTCCCTTTTCCCCTCATTTCTCTTCTCCTTTTTCCCCTCATTTCTCTGCTCCCTTTACCCCTCATTTCTCTGCTCCCTTTATCCCTCATTTCTCTGCTCCCTTTACCCCTCATTTCTCTGCTCCCTTTACCCCTCATTATTCTGCTCCCTTTACCCCTCATTTCTCTGCTCCCTTTATCCCTCATTTCTCTGCTCCCTTTACCCCTCATTTCTCTACTCCCTTTTCCCCTCATTTCTCTGCTCCCCTTTCCCCTCATTTCTCTGCTCCCTTTACCCCTCATTTCTCTGCTCCCTTTTCCCCTCATTTCTCTTCTCCCTTTTCCCCTCATTTCTCTGCTCCCTTTACCCCTCATTTCTCTGCTCCCTCTATCCCTCATTTCTCTGCTCCCTTTACCCCTCATTTCTCTGCTCCCTTTACCCCTCATTATTCTGCTGCCTTTACCCCTCATTTCTCTGCTCCCTTTATCCCTCATTTCTCTGCTCCCTTTTGCCCCTCATTTCTCTACTCCCTTTTCCCCTCATTTCTCTGCTCCCCTTTCCCCTCATTTCTCTGCTCCCTTTACCCCTCATTTCTCTGCTCCCTTTTCCCCTCATTTCTCTTCTCCCTTTTCCCCTCATTTCTCTGCTCCCTTTTACCCTCATTTCTCTGCTCCCTTTTCCCCTCATTTCTCTGCTCCCTTTACCCCTCATTTCTCTGCTCCCTTTATCCCTCATTTCTCTGCTCCCTTTATCCCTCATTTCTCTGCTCCCTTTCCCCCTCATTTCTCTGCTCCCTTTCCCCCTCATTTCTCTGCTCCCTTCACCTCTGATTTCTCTGTTCCCCTTGCCTCTCATTTCTCTGCTCTCCCTGGCTTTTAACTGCTACCTTAACCTTTCATTTCTCTGCTCTCCTTGGCCCCCAATTATCTAATCACCTTGCCTCTCATTCCGCTGCTCCCCATGGCTCGCATTTCTCTCATGGGGATGCATAGTGATAGCTCTGTCTATTCGTCCTCCCTCCCCCCCCCCCTTCCCCCCAAGCCCCACCTACTCTCCAGCATGTGGGCGCACGACGGTGACAATCCTCCCGGCATGCCTGACCCCACTCACCACTTCCCCTGTCCCTTCTGCCCCTCCCACCTCCCAGCATGCGGCCGCACAACAGTGACGATCCGCTCGCAGTACCTGGGGCCGTACGACCTGCACTCACTTCTGCCCCTCCCTCCCCTTATCTCCCTCCCCCTTTTCCCCTGCACCTCCCAGCATGCGGGCGCACGACAGTGACGATCCGGTCGCAGTACCTGGGGCCGTACGACCTGCACAACGACATCTACAACATGACATTCTACAACGGCTGCGCCTACAACGTCACCAGCCCGTTGCGCGTGTGGCAGTGCTTCAACTTCTACAACATATGGGAGGGCGTCCTCGACAATCCCGCGCCCAACCCCACGCAGTACCAGACAGGCGACATTTTCGTGCAGACGCTGCCGGGGTACTGTGAGATGCGCATGAACCGCGGTGCTAACGGCAAGTTGCAGATGCTCCCCGGGGAGACGGTGAACATTGTGTATGCGCACACGTGGGACTTCCGGCCCTGCGTGCAGGAGCTGCGCTTCGGCAACGGCAACAGCTACTCAATGACCAACACCACCGAGTGCCAGCTCGCCAAGGTCATCTAGACTAGGCCGCTGGTACCGTATCGTGAAATGTTTGTTATTATTGTTTCATGTGGTGTAGCAGAATGAGATGAAGAGGTGTACCGGTAGTTGGTGGAGGGAGGAGGCGGGAAAAGTGGTTAAGGCAATAAAAATGCATGTAATGTTCATTACATGTATCATTCACCAATGTTTTTCTCTGACTCTATCCTCATCCGTGGAGCTTTCAAATTAGGAGAGGCGAAGGTGAGGTGGTGTGGTGTGTAAGGAAACAAACAACCTTCCTTACTTCGCGTCTGTTGAGATACATAAGTACAACGCTGCAGCGTGGTGCTCGGGGGGACTGGAGCTTTGACACAAGGCAAGGCACCCTTTTTAATGTGCCGACGAATAGATTTGCCACTGCATCTTGCCGGCTAGGTGCCTGGCAGTATCGATACCAAGACACACAAGGCAACACTACAATCCACCTACTGAGCTTACTCGACCAAGGATACGTGCAACTACAGAAAGTAACCCCTCGGTGTCTGTTTCGCCTTCCGTTCTGCCAACCCTAGCTCCATGCACACAGCCAAGAGGAGAATGTATTGTTGGGGGCACATCCACATGCGCTGCCCTCAATGCATTCTCCGCATTCCCCGTCTTCTCATTAACCCCACAACCGCTCAGCACCGTAGAGTCTGCCTTTAGAACACCTTCGCCGCCCGCCTCCGCGCGTTTCTCTGCGAGCCAGGCTGTCAGGTCGTGAACAGTGTCGATGTCCCTCAGGCGTGGTAGCGAATCCAGTGGTGCCACGTCAGCCACCCCGTTGGAGTGGAGTGCTGAGAGAGCAGAGAGCGACTGCTGCAGCACCCTGTCTGTGCTCCACTCTATGCCCTGATGGGGTATGGTGGTGGGAGAGCAAGGGGATGGGGCCAGGAAGGGGGGCAGGCATGCCTGTGATACCATGGCAGGCATTGGGTTGGTGTGGCGTGCAGAGAGTGACTGCTGCAGCACCCTGTCTGTGCTTCACTCGATGCCCTGATGGGGTTGGGTGATGGGAGAGAAAGAGGGGGGGTGGGAGGATGGCGGGGGAAAGAGTCGCGGGGAGAGATTGGAAGAACAAGAGAATGCAATCGAGAGGGATGCAGATGGGAGATCGGGTATGCATGAATGGACCACACTACACATGGCGACATGCCCCACACTCATTGCGACATGCCCCACACACATGGTGACATGCCCCACATACATGGTGCAATTCCACACATACATGGTGACATGCCTTTCACACACATTGTGGCATGCACCAATTACTTGGAAAAGGCATGGCAGCACTGCGGTGAGCCCAAGGAGGTAGTATCCGCCATCCAGGGCCGGCCCAAACACCACCTGCCAGGGAACCCAAAGGATGCAATGAACCAAGAGCTTTGCATACTTTCTTTCAGAAACTTGATTTCCAACGCAATCCTGGTCATCAAACACAAGCCCCTGTGTTCCTTTCCCTTCCCTCGAACTCATCCCCTCCACCTGCCACACATCCCACATCCAGCCTGCATGTTCGTTACCCTCCAGTCCTCCACTCATCTGGTGGTGCCCGCGAGCAGAGAGCGCGCAGCAGCCACAGCGGCCTCATCCCGATCCGATCACAAACCTTACCTCTGCAAGCCACAGAGTGTCCAGGAAATGTCCGCACGCCTCCTCTCACCCACTGGTGTCCCCACTCCCCTCTCCTCCACTCACCCGGTGCCGCTTAAGAGCAGAGAGCGCAGCAACAACAGTTGCACCATCCACATCAGGGATGTCTGTTCCGATCACCACCACCTGGCATGGCGGAGCGTGGGAGGCAAAGAGGCAGAGAGACGAGCACATGCCATGGGGAAGAGAGAGAGAGAGAGAGAGCAGCGGCACAGCAGCACCAATCATATCAGGGATGTTGTTTTCAATACCACCAACTGCCTTAGCGCAATGATGATTTGCGAGTCGACTGAAAGAAATACAATCTCTTGCCAAAGGCCGACGGCATGGAAATACGTGAAGGGTGGAAAGCAGGGAACACTAGCAAGGATCCGATTCAAGACCGAGTAAACACCTGTTAGGTGACATGACTACACGTGGTGGCAGCAACTTTTGTTCAGGTAAAAAAGAAGAGGGCGCTTTCTTGTAAACCCTTGTGTAAGAGTGGAAAGCAGGGAACACCGGCAAGGATCTGATCAAAGAGTGCAAGCAGACGGATGTGCGACTCGCAGGATTCACAACGCTCACCGGAGGTATCCACATGCACAATCCCCAGAGCTCAGCTCACCCTACGTTAACCTTGATGTGCTCTCACCCGCTGGTATCCCAGGCCCAGCACGTGCTGGAAGGCTGCTTGCATGCGCGCCCCCACGTCTCCCCCCACCTGCATGGGTTTGGGTTTTGGGTTCAGGTTGGAGGGTTTAGGGTTTCGGATGTAGGGTTGTGGAAGGCTGCTTGCATGCATGCACCCACGTCCCCCCCCACCTGCATTTAGGTTTTGGTTCAGCACTATGGGGTTTAAAGTTTTGGTTGTACAATGATGAAAGGCTGCTTGCATTGGGTTTCAGGGTGACGGGGTTTTGGGTTTCGGGCTTAAAGTAGTGACAGACTCCTTGCATGCGCGTCCCCACGTCTCCCCCCACATGCATGGATGGTTGCAGAGGAGCGATCGATGCATGCACGGACTCCGGCATATGGGCGACAGGCGTGCGTTGCATGTGGGAATGATGGTTGCATGGGTGTGAGCATGGGGTGTGAGCATTGTGAGAATGGGGTGTGAGAATGGGTGTGAGAATGGGGTGTGAGAATGGGGTGTGAGAATGGGTGTGAGAATGGGTGTGAGCATGGGATGTGAGCATGGGGTATGCGAATGAAGTGAGACTATACCGCTGAGCTGGAATAACGCGAAAGTTCCAACCTGAGGCACAAAGCGGAGGGAGGTGGAGGAAGGCAGCATCTGCTGCATCCACCGTCGGATCTCGCCTTCATCCGACGGCTCAGAGAAGAAGATGAAGACATGCGTGGAAGCCCGCCTGCCTGCCACACCACAGCACCGGCTGATCAGAATGAAAATTGAAGCCATCTACGGCACAGCAATGATTGCACTGAGCACATCCCCAGACATGCACTCGCCGCGAACATGCCATACCTGGATCACTTTTGAGAATCCTCAAAGGGGAGTCAGATATAGTCGCAACTGGAGGTCACACACAACAGCTACCGTACTTGCCGAGGGCTCTGCGCCTCGCTATAGTCACGTACAGGTCGGGGCAGAGCACGACCCGGGTGACGACGTGCTCGCAGCACGCGCGGTAGAAGTTGCACGCCGCATCCGCCCCCACGCCGGCCGCCAGGCGCGTCTTCACGCGCCCCGGCGCCGGCCGCTTCACGAAGATCATCACCGCCTGCTGCGCGCCGAGCGGCTCCGTCGCTTCACTCCGCGCCTCTTCCGCTTCGCTAAAACTCAGTTTAGGGTCGCTCATTCTAGCGTCGCACACTCCAGAGTCGCTCATTCGCTCTGTAGGAGAATCAGGAGACTAAGGCGATTGAGAGAACGGACGGCGATAGTGATTTTCTGGCTGCGGATGCTGCAGTCACGCAGTACGGGTAGGCAATCGTTTAGGGTGGTGCGCGGCGAGACGGATCGATAAATGGACAGCTCGGCTGAGCTGACGTGTCGAACGGATACGAACGCCAGGCACCTTGTGACTTGGCGGCAAATGTGAACAGACTGCCTGGTCAAGTGGCTAGAAGGGGAAGGAAACCGTGGATGACCAGCTTGGAGGGGAAAGGAAGGAATAGGCGAATTGTTTGTTTGAGTGCGGTTCAGTGAGATGCTTTACGTTCTTTGAGTATTCGCTTGGGCATTTGTTCATTGGCTCGCGAAGGCATTCGGTTCCGTCGCCAATCTCGCGATGTTCTCGATGCAGCTCGTTCGCCAATGAGCGTCCAGGTTTTTCTTAGATGTCCAATGGGATCATGGCTTTGGAACACCGACCATCGAATCCCGAGAATCAGATTGATGACAGCGCGCGAATGTCGCGAACGCAAAAGAGAAGGATTCGTTGGCGGGAGGACGTAGGGGCGCGCTACCAGACAACCAGATCTCCGCTGATGCGCGCAGCAGCGGTGGAGGGAAATCCGCAACACAGCCCAAATGAATTACTGAAATAGAATAGCTCAGTGCTCCTTGTCCAAGCTTCAGATCAGAAAGGTCGAGTCGAGTGAAGCGGATATTCACATGTTCCTTGTATTCTTTTACCACGAAGTGCTTCGAGCATAGTTCACGACAAGGTAGTTGGCGCATACTATCGCATACTGTCGCTTACGGTCGCATTCTATCGGATACTGTCCTCCATTCTCCATAAGCGAGAGCAGCGCAGCGACGGCCACGGCGACAGCGGCAGGCGTCAGCTTGAAGCAGCGTCGGACGCCGGCCGACGCATCGCAGCCATCCATCGCGCCGGACAACGTCAACGCGATCAAACCGACGGGTTGAAGGACAAGGCGAAGCCACGTGGCGCGTCGCCGCGCCGGCGGTCCGGCTGGCTCGTGCTGGTGCTCGTGGTTCTGGTGGCGGCAGCGGCGGGCGCGGGTTATTATTTGTGGCGGGAATACAGCGAGTTTGTCGCGATCGACGACGACGAGGAGTTCGAGAGCGAGCCGCCCGTCGAGAAGGTCGCGACGCGGTCCAACCCGCGGAAAGCCCAATGGCAAGCTGATGTGAGTCGCTGCGTTCGTCGTTCAATGTGTCCCCAATACGCGTCGCCGAGTCGCTGAGTGCGTCGCAGGGCTGGCGACGAAGGGCTGCGATCATCTCTCGCTGAGCGATCCCTTTTTGTCACCTCATCCCTTATTGTCACGTGATTCATTCTCGTTTGTCCCTCTGCAACCGTCCTTTTCTTCCCCTCGGACCTTACCTTCTGAAATCTAGCTCGGATGTGAATCCTCTAGTCATCTGTGAATTCTCAACCGCGGCGCGTCACACACACACACGTACCACTCTCTGTCAGATAGATCACCGCATGCTGTTTGAGACATTTAAAGAGGCATCAGCGGCGCATCCCCACGCATGCGACTCTCTTTGTCAGCTGATTACATGCTTCTCCAGCGCCACCCCGACCCTCACCCTCGGGTTTCTCAGCCTGCGTTTCCTCATCCGCTGCTGCCCTATCTGTGCGCTTGCATGCAAGCTTCACGTGGGTTCGAATGTGCACAGATAGGGCAGCAGTACTGGCGATGCCAATGTGACTGACTGGAAGTGTGACTGTATTCATTGTGACTGTCTCGTTTGTGACTGTCGTTTATAACAGAAGCTGTGGAGCGCGGAGGAGCTGGCCAAGTATAACGGGTCGACGAAGGGACTTCCGCTGCTGCTGGGCATTCTGGGGTGAGCGGGGCGTTGGATTAGTCAGAGGAATGCGTGGGCAGTGGCCAGGCGAGGGTGAATGTGGCGTGGGCAGGCGAGAGCTAATGCTCAATGCCCAATGCCTCATGCTCACTTCCCAATGCCCAATGCCCAATGCCAGTTGACTTTTGAGTCGACTCAAAAGTCAATGCCCAATGCCCATAGCCCAATGCCCAATGCGCCATGCCCAATGCGCCTTGGCCTATGCCCAATGCACCATTCTTCACACCCATATCCCATATACCACTCCGCATGCCCCACACGCCCATCCTCCTCCATACCTCATATCCCATGCGTGCAGGGACGTGTTTGACGTGACCAAGGGCAGGAAGCACTACGGCAAGGGGCAGGGGTACAACCACTTTGCTGGCAGGTTAGTAGCCCAGGCTGCCAGGTCAGCACCGCAGGCTGCCAGATCAGCCGGGCTCAGGGTCCCAAGCCAGTAGGTCAATTCCTCAGGGTGCCAGGTCAGCCTCATGGTGCCAGGTCAGCCTCAGGGTGCCAGGTCAGCCTCAGGGTGCCAGGTCAGCCTCTGGGTGCCAGGTCAGCCTCAGGGTGCCAGGTCAGCCTCAGGGTGCCAGGTCAGCCTCAGGCTGCCAGGTCAGAAGCGCATGTTGCCAGGCCAGAGTTTGAGAAGGACTTCAAAGTGGCTGTGATGTAAAAGCCAGCACAATGCTGCGCAACATTGGACGGGATTCCACCAAGCATATATGAACTTATATGAACAGACGAATCCCCACAGGGCTCAGCCAAACAGCACACCGCACATGGCATGACATGCCAAGTCAACGAGTGTCACGATGCTCTCGACACGCCTGCTGCGGTGCTTTGAAGACAATTTCGGGTGAGATATCTGTGCTTCTTCTTTTGAGGCTCCTCAAAAGACAATTCCGATGTGGGGTATCTGTGCTTCTTCTTTTGAGGCGCCTCAAAAGATAATTCCGATGTGGGATATCTGTGCTTCTTCTAGTCACTTTAGAGCTGCCAGGTACTTAGACGAAAGGTTGTGCTTCAATGGCAGGCAGGTCAACGAACTCACTCCCTCGGCGTGCCAAGAGTTCGCATTACAACCCCCAGTTTCTACACTCCCGTGATGGGTCTTGTGCGCATCCCAGAGTATATGGCTTGGAAGGTTGAATTAAATTAAACCCACCTTTGTGCGTGCAAGCTCGTGCATTGCTCCTCTGCCATGCCATCGGCTGTCTCAAAAGCTGCCCACTGCTCCCTCCATCCGCTTTCTTCCTGCCTGTGCCTCAACTCCGCTTCTCTGCATCTATACTCCTACACCCTCGTTTGGCATCCGTTTCCCCACCCTTCTCGCACTCACTCCTTTCCACACCTCGCTCTCACCTCAACCCCTTTCTCCATGAATCCCATCCCCTCTCACAGAGATGCCACGAGGGCATTTGTCTCAGGCAACTTCTCAGGTATGACGGACCATGCCATGCCATGCCATGCCATGCCATGCCATGCCATGCCATGCCATGCCGTGCCATGCCATGCCATGCTATGCCATGCCATGCCATGCCATACCACACCATGTCATAGAATGCCATAGCATACTATACCATTCCATAGCACACCGTAGCATACCATAACATATTATATCATTATACCATACGGCACCATGACAAGGTATGCGATGCCATAGCATGCCATGCATGTGTGGTAAGCCTTTGTCCTATTCAAATTGAGCTCCTTTGTCCCTGGCTGACCGCTTGGCACTGCTTGGCACCACATGGCACCACAGGTACACCCTCCTTTTCCCCCGCTCTCCCTCCCTGTTCAATCCCTTCCCACCCCTTTCCATCCCTCTCCATCCTGCAGATGACGGCTTAACGAACGATCTGACAGGGCTGTCAGGAGAGCAGTGCATCGGCATTGCTGACTGGCGCGACTTTTACTTCAAGACCTACATGTGAGTTGCTTCGTGCATTTGACGTTCATGTGCTTACCCTGGTGCTGAGCACCCCACTGTCTGTGCTGGGTGTGGTAAGAATGCATGTGAGGGACTGATATACTGTCAGTCGAGCAGTGCATTGGCATCTCGGAGAGGGTGAGATGGATCTATGGGTGCAGAGGGGTGAGGTGCCGTGCAGGGCGAGTTTGTCGAGCTGCTGAAGGAGGGCAAGCGGCTGAGGCCACTGCTGGCAGAGCATTACACAATCCTCCCTGCCTTGAACCTTTACCCCTTCCCTCCTTCGGTTTCTCTACTTGCAGCCACGTGGGCAAGCTGGTGGGGCGGATTTACGACGAGCAGGGGAAGCCAAGAGAAGCGCTGGGCGAGTTTGACGAGCTTCTCAAGGAGGGCAAGCAGCTGAGAGACGTGGGCTCAGAACGAGGGCGGCAAGGTGGGGCTTCCTCTTTCTTGCGCCTACCTTCTTCCCGCCCTGCTCTCCCCTCTCATCTCTTGAGGCACTTCAAACGCCCAAGGCTGTGGAGAAGCAAAACCCCGGGTGCAACTCGCGGTGGGCGCAGAATGAGGGCGGCAAGGTGCGACCCCGTTACCATCCCTTACTCTCCCATTACCTCCTGTTTAAAAACCCTTTCCATCCCTCTCCATACCTTTCCATCC